AGAAATCAGTCTACTACAAGATTCAGCAATTCCACTCTTAGGCATATATCCGAAAAAAGCACACTCATACAACAAAGACATCTATTTAACTATGTTCATAGCAGCATTATTTGTAACATGCAGAACCTAGAAGCAATCTAGATGACCCTCAACTGAAGAATGGATACAGAAAATGTGGTACATTTACATAATGGAGTACTACTCCCCCAAAAAAAGCAATGGAATCTTGAAATTTGCAGGAAAATGGATGGAACTCAAAGAAACCATTCTGAGCGAGGTAACCCAATCACAAAAAGACAAACATGATATGTACTCACTCATATGTGGACCTGCTTTATGATACATAAAGTGACCATGCTTTATCAGAGCTGTTTTTAATGATGTTGCTCACAATGGTTTCCTTCCAGATGATGATCGAGAAGCTAATTTAAAAAAAAAAAAATGGTGCCAGGTACCACAAGAGTAACAGAACTGTGCTGTTTTTCTGGGATTTTATTTTTTTACTTTTTTTTAAAATGGAGTGTGCTGGATGTCTCTACAATTTTGTTCAAATGAGTGCAGAACCTCGAAAAGCTGTTGCTGCTATTGATGCATAACATACTGCCATTATTGGTCTTTTTATATAAATATAAATATATATATATACACATAAAAAACCTGGTTTCAAAGATTAAAAGTGGAGAGGAATTGAGGCAGACTCTTTTTTTTTTAAGATTTTATTTATTTGTTATGTATACAACATTCTGCCTCCATGTGTATCTGCACACCAGAAGAGGGCACCAGATCTCATTACGGGTGGTTGTGAGCCTCCATGTGGTTGCTGGGAATTGAACTCAGGACTTTTGGAAGAGCAGTCGGTGCTCTTAACCTCTGAGCCATCTCTCCAGCCCAGAGGCAGACTCTTAATGTTGACTCTGGCCTCCAGATGCACACATATGTGTACCCATACACACGTGTGTGCATACACATGAACACCTAGCACACAAAAGACAGTTTTTTAAAAATCCTGCATACTTCTTGCTCTTACAAGGATAAATCATTTGGGAAGTCTAGTGGTGTAGACTTAGAACCTGAAGCTCTAAGTTACTCTGAAGGCTGATGCAGGAGGATCCTGAGTTCAAGGCCTGCCTGGGCTGCAAGTTTAAAACCAGCCTGTTCTAAAATAAGAGGGGGAGTTGGGCGTGGTGGCATGCACCTTTAGTCTCAGAGGCAGGCAGATGTACATGAGTTCAATGCCAGCCAGATCTACATGGAGAGTTCCAGTAAAGCCAGGCTTACAAAGAGAGACACTGACAATAAAATAAAATAAAGAGGGGACGAGCTTTCAGACACTGGCTCTGGTTCTGAATGCCCCCGTCTGGCTGAGCCAGTGGGCTCTTGAAGGGTAAGAATCAAGAGTCAAAGAATGGCAAATGCCTGCTTGGAAGGCTCCCACCAACAGGTACCTACCAACCACCCAAAAGCAGGTGGAGCCGGGCCTGGCCCTGAGGACTGAGGCAGTGCTGCCCTCCCCTGGTCACACTGAAGTTCTCTGCCAAGCTGAGCTGCTGAGATTGTGGATATAGCAAATGACTCTCCAATGACAGCATGTGACACTCAGACCCCCTCCCAGTAGCCCACAGGCTGACCACAACCTCTAGCGCTTCCCATGCTGGCCAGCTTTCTCTAACTGCTCAAAGTCTTCCGGAAGTACTGTCTTCACTGGGTGTAGTTGTGTGCTAATCCCACACTTGGAAGGCTGAGGACAACTTGGGCTATAAAACAAACAACAAAACCACTGTGTCCTATCTAGCTAAAGCCCTCAGGGTACAGCTGGAGCTCCTTGCTAGATCTTCCCCTCGGCTTGTACCCTTTGGTCACCCTGCATGCTGTCACTACTTCTACCTGTCCCCAACAGTCTCCACATGTCCATTTAGGTCCTTCTCCAGGAGCCTGACTTTCCTGAGCCCAAACCAAGATGACCCCGCCCATTTCTGCCCATGTCCTGGCTTCTCTACTCCTATCTTGAGGACGGACCACTGCCAGGAACCAGAGATACAGCCCTGGAACTGGGGGGAATTTAAACTTCATTCAGTGCTATCCTGGTACTATTGGAAAGGGACTGTGAGACCCAGGAAAGTGCAGGAAAAGGCCACACAGCTTGTCAGTGGCCACTCTAAAGTAGGCCTGCTCAGGTTCCCTGGAGCTCACACAGCTGCTTCCCCTAGTGACCAGTATCAAACCCCATGTATTTACCATGAATATCTGTACCAACGATCCCCAGGCCCTCACCCAGAGCAGGGCCCAGAGGAAGCAAATGAATGAATAAACAAAAATATTTATATAATGCCTCTGTGTGCTGATCACTCAGCAGGTACCAGCTCTGCTATAGGAATCTATGATCAGGTTGCTCAATGTGACATACATAGAAACAAATAGCATCTGTGAGGAAGGAAGAGCATGTACCAGCAATGGCCTCAGTCACGAATGTCCACAATTAGTGGGCACAGGTGGGGCGAGTGTTTGATGCCCATGGTGAAGGCAGGTATGCGGGGCTTATGCAAAGTGACTTGCTGAACGTTGTGGGAGCCAGGGCCAGGCCTAAGTGTGTGGTCCAGTGGATAGGCAAAGCGCTTGGCCATGCTGAACACAGGGCTGCGGTTCTGGTAGACAGATGGCTCAGGTCGGGTATACACAGCAGGTCCAGGACCTCCTGCTATATTCTCTTTGTAGAACCAATTCTTTTTTGAAGAACCCAGACTATGGCAGGGAGCATCTCGGAAGACTGGGGTGTTGGACCCCAGTGAGAATGGAAGCTTGTACTGGTTGGGAGCCGGGTTGGGATCCATCACTCTATATGGACACCGGCAGCCAAACGTGTAACGGGGAACAGTACGTTCCCCAGGGGGCTGAATCTTCTCAACGCTGTAGTGGCAGGGGCCTGGGGTGGTGGTATACCCTGAAAGGAAGGAAGGTGGGGAGAACCTCACAGGCCCTGATACAAGCTGCTGGGTCAGGGAGGGAGCTGAGTTCTTGCCCAGCCCTGGGGGCTTCCAAAAAACAAACGGGGAAAAAAAAAAAAAAAAACCAGTGCAGCAGCAGGGCAGGGACATTAGGACTACATGGCGCTGTGGGCAGGGAAAAGGCACCAAGATAGTCACCATGATGGTGACATTATTGTCATAAAACAAAAGCTATCACTGTCATTGTAGCAATGATTCCTTGGCTGTCAACATGTTGGTGTTGCCCCATGTCCCATGACAGTACCAAGAAATTTTCTTTAGGTCTGTGAGCTCATTAGCATGACAATATTGCTACAAATTTGACATGAGCCCTGTGACATCATAATACAATGTATAACATTGGCTTCTATGCATGAAAACAGTGACACACACAAAAAAAAAACCAGTGACACATATATGGTGATGCATGCTATTTGTGTCATATATATATGACACAAATATATATATATATATATATATATATATATATATATATATATTCATGGCTGGCCTGGAACAAGCTGTGTAGGCCAGGCTGTCCTCTACTTTCCAGGTGCTGAGATTATTACTATGTGCCACCATACTTAGCTGACACTGGTGTCTTGATGAGATAATGAGCAAATGCTAGCATTCTCAGATACGCCTCTGCTTTGCCCCTTCCCAGGTTCTAAGGATGGATGCCTCCCACACTCCATCCTCCCAATGGCCCACCTTCCCAGCCCATCTTACGTATGTTGGAGATGCGCTCCTCCATGGGGACCTGGGGGCAGGTAGACATTCCAAAACGAGTTACTTTGGAATCCAACAAATAGCAAGGTCCGGGGCTGTATGTATCTATGATCCCTGCAGGGAACAAGGGGGGCCTGCGTGTCACAGCTGCCACCCCACCAAGGGCTCCCTTCAGATTCCTCTGGCTATCTGTGGACTTTGATTTCCTCATCTGTAAAATAGGACCCTCTGTGCATGACTGCTGGAGGCTGCTGGCAGGGCCAGATAAGAGCAAGAGGATCACAGTGTGGTCAGCCTCCTACCACAGACACGTCCAGGTTGATGCCAAGGGTAGTGACAACCACTGTAGCTACTGTAAATATGGAGAAAGGGCTCGATCCCAGCCAAAGCTTCTGCCAAGGAGATATGACTTGGGGAAGGGAGGCAGGCACCCTAAACCTCAGGCCCCCAAACAAAAGACTATATCCCCACCCAACCCCTCACTTAAGTGGCCTTGGCTATCAGCCACTGCTCATCTTTGACTACTGCAAGCATCCCCAGCAGAATATGCAACACAGAGCTGAAGAGACCCAGGAAAAGAGAGCCCTGCTCTGCCAGGACAGTTCTAGGCCCCCAACAGCTCCCCAGGGAGATCTGTCCAACTGGCTGCACAGAGCTGCCTTGAGATGTGGGAGTCCACTTAGGACATTTTACTGACTTCCTTCTGTCTCCATCTTTACCAGCCCCTGTCCCCAATGGCCTGTGGCTGCAGTCTTGGACAGTAGCCCCGACCCTTCAGGAACAGACAGTGGGGAGTGCTCACGTTTATCAGTGTGCCGTCTGTGCAGGCTGTAAGCTGGCTCCTGGAACATAGAGGTGTCGTGGGCTATGTAGCCAGTACAGGATGCCCGGAGGTACTTGGCAGGCCCTGGACCTATGAGGACAGACAAGACAACCTTTAGCTTCAGCCCCCAGTGTGGTGTGCCATGAAAACACAAGGGGCTTTGCTCCGGCTGATGGCATACTGCCATGGAGCTGGGCATCAGGCTGGTTCCCTACAAGGAAGGTAGTATGCAGAGCTAAAATGCAATTTCCTGTAGATCCGCTGCCCACTGTAGGAAAACAACAGTCACAGTCAATTGAAAACTTGGTCCGTACTAAGACTCATGCTAACCACTTGATGGTGTTATTTCAATTGAGCCTCTAGACAACCTTATTAAGACAAACACTCTTGTCTTTTCCATCTTACAGATAACAATACTGAGGCTAAAAAAATAATCTATCCAGCTACAGTAACTAGTGGTGTGAGAATCAACAGAACCCAAACATTTAATCATTGCTCTAAACACTTCCCATGTAATCATCGGTCAATAGCAACCTAGTGAGAATTCGTTTGCCTGATCTCCATTGAAAAGAAAGAGAAACCCTTGAATGTGGGACTGGTGAATGAATAGCTGAGTGATAGAGTTCTCACCTATAATATTCCTATCACCTAGAAAAGTGAAAACCAAGCTAAACACTCTAATCCTTTCCCCAAATCATGCTATATGCCCCCACATTCCAACTCTCTTCCCTGGCTGGGCCTAACTTGGAGGTGCAGGTTACTTTAAGGTCTTGAGGAGTACTTACTGGGGCTGGAGGTGGAGCTGGCATGCTAGGCCCTTGGTAGCAGCCCAGCACACTGGATCCTAGAGTAGGGCTGCTCTCACCTTTGATTGTGGCCATGACAACAGGGGTCTGCCTTATTTCCCTCCGTGAAGGCACCTCTTCCTGCTTCTCTGGGTGGTGTGCATAGAACACACAGCTCCCGGACCCCTTGGACAGTTTCATGGTGAAAGCTGGGAAGAAACATGAGCAGTTACCAGCAGTGCCTGAGAGGCCAGGAGCCAGTACCCCTGCCCAAGCCCCTCCATCCTCTCCCTACCCCACTTAAGAGACTCCAAACAGCTGAGAACTGAGGGAAAAGATGCCTGGGCTCAGCAGCTGAAGCCACAGAGGTGAAGCCAGCACAGGGTCCAGTGGCTGGAGTGGGAGATGACATCACATCATGGCAGAACTGTGAGGCCCGGAGTGTTTATTTCCCCGTTGCCGTGGTGCCTGAACTGTGGCGTAGCAGCTCTATAGTGAGAGCCCAGCTACAGGAAAATTCAGCTCCATTGCCCACTCTTACATCCAACCAGGCTGAATGCCCTGGGTGTTCCTCAATAACCCTGGTCTGAGAAGGGAGTAAGTAGTGAGTGACATGGCCCTTGAGACAGCTACTCACTACCAGTGGGTACCTACTTTTTGTTTTTTGTTTTTTGGGTTTTTTGTTTTTGTTGGTTTGCTTTTTGTTTTTTTGTTTTTGTTTTTGTTTTTGTTTTTTGTTTTTTTGGTTTTTTGAGACAGGGTTTCTCTGTGTAGCTTTGGAGAAGCTGGGCACAGAATTCCTGGCACTCTCTCTGGAGACCAGGCTGGCCTCGAACTCACAGAGATCCACCTGCCTCTGCCTCCTGAGTGCTGGGATTAAAGGTGTGAGCCACCAACGCCTGGCTACCAGTGGGTAACTTATGAGAGGGGACAGGAACAGAAAGGATGAGTAGGTCCTGGGTGAAGGGTTCTTGCTCACCCCCACAGCCCTCTGGGACCTTCTAGCCTCTATCCCTTTTACCAATCTCCCCCAGACTCTGGACAAGTGCTTTCTTCTATCAGTCTCCTGTTTAAGCTAAACTATTTCCCACTAAGGTGTGACTGTCTCACAGCCCCTTCCCAGGCTCCTTTGCCAAGGCATGATATCTTTAAAGATCTACATCTAGCTAAAGGAGTACCTACCTAATGGAGGCATTTCAGACACAGAGTGAAGGGCAAGCGAGGGAGGGGAAGAGCTCACACTCATGTCCACAGCAGCCGCTTCCCATGCCTACCACAGAGAGCACCTCTGAGGAAATCTGCTGGGAGATACTGAGGGAGGGAGCAGCATGCAGGCTCCACATGATGGAGGGATGACTCCCACGGCTGGGAAAACCCCAGAGACCTCTTCACCCCTAAGAGCTCAGGAGGATCCAGGGCTTCCATCCACCACTGGGATTTGATCTGAGCCAGATCAAGAAAGGCCCTCATCATAGAACTAAAGGATGAAAGGTAGTGTCCTTTAAATGGGGTCTGTCACCAACACCGTGTGGACACTGAGACCACAGCAGGGGTCAAGTGTAGATGGGCTTTGCTTGGCGTGGCCATCTCACAAAAAAACAGCACGGAGACTTATTATTAATTTTAAACACCTAGCCTATAGCATAGGCTTGTCTCACTGACTCTTATAACTTAAATTAACTCATTTCTATTCATCTACATGTTGCCACTTGACTTTTATCTGTCCTCCTGAATGTCTTGCTCCCCTTCCCTCTGGCTGGTGACGCTGCCTTTCTTCCTCCCAGAGCTCTCTGTCCCCAGAAGTCCTGCCTAACCTCTTCCTGCCTAGCTAATGTCCCTTCAGCTCTTTATTAAGCCAATCACAGTGACACATCTTCACACAGTATAAAGGAACATTCCACAACAATCAAGGATTTAATCCAGAGTCCCCAACTTCATCAGTGACAGGAATGGAACAAGAACACCAAATTCAGGAATCTCTGCAGGTCACCGTCTAGATTCTCACAAAGTTGCCATTGTGGTAGTGATCTGAACTTGTGGCAGCCGCCCAGCACAGTCACCATCAAGCATGCTGGGAAATCAGAATTCCTGGGGGCTGAAAGGCCCAGAATAGAGAGCAGGCTCCCAGCCAGCAGCAGCAGCCCCTCTTCTGGGGAACAATCACAATACTACCTGCTCACCCCGCCCTGTGAGCACTCCAGGCAGCCCCTTCCCCTGCCTGGTGGGATTCTCCAAGTGCTTCCCTCCCAGGAGTCTGCTCTATTCCTGGCACACGTCCTTATCCATAGCTTTCTTGAGGAATGGATTCCCCCACCTTCAGCAGGCCTGGGCTGTTCTCTTCTGCTCCATGTACTCACTTGCTCCCCATCTCTGACGAAGTCTGGCCCTCCCCAGCTGTTAGTTCTCCCACCCATGACCCCTCCTTGTATCTTAGAGTCCCTTCTTTGTCACATGGGTTCCAGTGTCCAGAAGCAACTCTCCTCAGCTTCTCAGTGCTACTTGTCCCTCACTTAGAACCTGGTGGCCCTGGTTCAGACTGCTGCTGCCCTTCTCCTAACCCTGCTATGACCCTGGTAACTTTGGCCCACCTAGGGCCCACTCCCCAGTCAATGCCTGGTCATCCTCATCTACAAAGACCTCTGTCAACACCCTCTCATGCCCTGTTCACAACCGTGGTCCTGGGCTTTTCACTACCTCCCACATCATCAACTGCCACCTCCCTCTGGACACCAGTCTTCCATTTCCCAGCCCCTAGCAGTTTTTATGAGACACCTGACTGCCGAACCTGTACCTCCTCCTCACCCGCAGGCCCTTCCTGCCATCAGAGCTCTCAACTTTGGATTTGGCAACCTCAATAAGCCTCACCTCTAGGCAGCTTGATCCCCTGTCCCCAGACGTTGTCCCAGCATGTCTTGCTCCCATCTACGTGACTAGGTCTCCATGCAGTCCCTACTTATCTGCACCAAGCAAAAGCAGGCCATGAAGCCAGGCTGCAGCTGTAGCCCTGTCAGCCAGGCCTACCTACTTCCCCTTCCCACAGGAAGCTATGGCTGTTCTCCTCAGATTTCCACATGACCCCTCTAATATCCAAGGTCCTTCTGTCCGCTAAAAACTGTGCTTCAGGGGGCTGGACAGATGGCTCAGTGGTCAAAAGCACTTGCAGTTCTTCCAGAGGACTGGGGTTCAGTTCCCAGAACCCACATCAACCACCTGTAACTACAGTTCCGGGGGGGGGGGGGGGGGATCCAATACCCTATTCTGCCCTCTAGAGCCCTACATGCATGTGGGACACATAAAATGAACGAATAGATCTTTTTAAAAATAAAAGCCCAACCCTGCTCTTGAACTCATACATGTCTCTATACCCACCTGTCCCTCCCTGCCAATCCACAGACACATTTACTCAAAGGGTGTTTTCTCTTGTGGTGGCCAGTCTTTCCTCTCTTTCCTTCTTGACTCACTGAAAGCTGGCTTTGGGCCTACTGCTCCACCCAAGAGAGGCTGGACTAGATGCCCACAGACCTGCACACAGCCACTGCACATAGCGGACTCTTAGCATCATCTTCTGATTTGGCCTCTTGGTGGCACTGGCCAACATGGATGACTACTCCCTGTGTCACCCAGAGCCTCTCCAGGCTCCAGGATGTTCTCCTGGTTTTGACTGTCCCTTTACAGGCTTTCTTCTGGCTCTTCTTCCTCACCCTGACCTTTGAATATTGGCAAATGCTTATTAATCACAAAATGGAAAATACTAAGTTTACTTGGAAGCAGTCTCGAAGGCTCTCCCTCAACCAGGTGATCCATGTGAAGATAGCTCAGTGGGCAAAATGCTTGCTGTGCCAGAATGAAGATCTGAGTTCAGACTCAAGGGATCCACATAAAAATCTGTGAGGAGCAGTGTGCTCCTGTAACCCCAGCACTGGTGGGGGGGGGGATACCTGGCCATTCAGCTTATCTAATCATGTATAGTGAGAGACCCTGCCTCAAAAAAGGAGGTGGGAAGCAATGCAGAAAGATACCCAATGGTGGTTGACCTCTGGCTTCCACACAGGTGTACATAATATCCCTCACACACAGAAGCTGTTTATTATTATTATTATTATTATTATTATTATTATTATTATTATTATTTTATATTGTGTATTGTATGGTTATGTGCATGCCACATGTATAGAGATAAAAGGACAATTTTGGGGAGTCAGTTCTCTCCTTCCACTGTGGAACCCAGGGATTGAACTCAGGCATTAAGTTAGTGAGCACTTCTACCCACTAAACTAAACTTGCTGGCCACAATTTAGAGGAGGCAGGGACAGGTCTCATCATGTAGCCTAGGATGTCCTGGAACTTGTTATGTCGACCAGGCTGGCCTCAAACTCAAAGAGATTACCTGCCTCTGCCTCCCCAGTGCTAGGTCAAAAGGTATGCACTGCCAATACGTCATTCCATTTTTTTAAAATTCAAAACCAAAACAAAGGCAAATAAAATAAAACCCCACCAAGGGAGATGCTGGTGCCTCCTGGTAGGGTGACACAAAGAGACCACAGCATCACTCTATCATGTTTCACAAAGATGTAAAATCTGAATCAAACACAAGAATACCAGAGAAGTCAGGATTCATCCACAAGATAACTAACCTGGAGTCACAAAAAATAAAAATAAAGCCAGCATCACAGAAAATAAAGAAATCCTGACCTGTGCCAGATTTATTGGAGAGAGAGGGGGGGGAGGAAAGAAGAAGGGAGAAAGAGAGAGAAAGAAAGGAAAGAGAGGAAAGAAAGCCAGACAGTTCAATGCAACATGAAGGGCAGGGCAAGTGATGTCGTTATGAAAATTAGCCAAAGCAGAAATAAGACTATGGCTTATTTCAAAGTGTAGCCAAGTTTATTTCCCGATGGATCATTGCACTCCTAAAAGGGAAGCTCTTTGTTCCTAGAAAACACATACTGACTTATTTAAAAGAAAAGTGCTGAGTGTCATGGCATCTGCCTTTAGTCCAACACTCAGAAGGCAGGCAGGTCTCCATGAATTTGACCAGACTGGTGTCCACTAGTATGGACAGTGGACCAATGTAGACTGGTGTAGAGTTCCAGCATAATCAGGGCTGCATAGAGACCCTGTCACAAAAATAAAACAAACAGAAGTGTGATAAAATATTAACACTTAGGAAATCTAAACAAATTAAAGTGTGAAGAGTGTGTGAGGATTATTTGTAATAATGTTGCCACTTCTATGTAAGTCTAAAACTAAGTGCAATAAAAAAATCAAAATAAAAAATTATCAGGCTGTGGCGCACACCTTTAATCCCAGCACTCGGGAGGCAGAGGCAGGCAGATCTCTGTGAGTTCCAGGCCAGCCTGGTCTCCAGAGCGAGTGCCAGGAAGGCTCCAAAGCTACACAGAGAAACCCTGTCTTGAAAAAAAATTATCAAGCTGGGGAGATGCCATGTAAGATGTACAGCAATTAAGGAAGACAGCTGATATTGATCTCTGGCCTCAATATGCACAAATGTGTACACACACACACACACACACACACACACACACACACACACACACGTTTCCACATATGCTCACAGGGACAAATGAATACACAGCACATACATACACACTAAAAGAAAAATATTTTGAGGGGCTGAAGGTGCAGCTCAGGTAGGACATGTCCAGTTGAGTTCAGTCCTCAGCAGAGGGGATGGAGGAGGGGATGGAGGAAGGGGTAGAGGGGGCATGGAGGAGAGCTGTTTGAGTAAGTGAATTCTTTGGCCCACTGGTTGATCAGAAGAAAGCCACTCTGCCAGCAGGAGCAGAGCACCCTTACTGAGTGCAGACGTGGGCCTATCTCACTCACTGGCCTACCTTTGGCAGGCAGCTGTGCAGTATTACACCCATTCTCTAGTGTCACAAAACACAAAGAGCTTACCACAGCAATTTCCTGACTCACACTGGGCCTGGGTTTAGGAATTTGGGAGAGACCTGGATGGAGATTCTGGTTCTAGATCTCTTGGGAGTGGGCAGTCAAGATAGCAGTAGTGCCTGCAGCCATTAGAAAGTATATTTGGAGAGTTGGCAGATCCATAACCAAAGATGGTCTGTTCTCATAACAGGTGAGCTGGTGCTGGCTATTAGCAGGAGGCCTCAGCTCCACCCCACATGGGCCTTCCACAGGACACTTATTGTCCTTATTCATGGAATGGCCACTCACAAGGAGTGATCACAGGGGACAAAGCAGAAGCCACCATGCCACTGTGACCTTGCCTTGGAGGTTGTATCATCCTTTCTGCCTTTCTTCTTGGGTGCGCAGGCCAGCTCTATGCATCCAGGGTAAGGACTGCACTAGAATGTAAATGCCAGCAGATGGGGACTACTGAGGCCATCTTAGAAGCTGGCTGTTGTGACGCTGTGCATGTGTGTGTTACATGCATGTGTGTGCAAGTGTGTTTGCCTGTGCATGTGGAGGCCAGAAGTTAATATGAGCTGTCTTTCTCTACCACTTTCAAATTTATTCTTTTTAGAGATTTATTTTATTTTTAATCCTATACACATGTTTGTCTTTGTGGGTATGTGCCTTGTGTAAGGGAGTGACCCCAGGAAGCCAGAGGTATCAGATCCCTGGAGCTGGGGGGGGGGGGTTCAGGCAATTGTAAATTGTCTGATGTGGGTGGGTTCTAAGAATTGAACTCAGATCCTCTGAAAGAGTAAAGCACATTCTTACCCACTGAGCCATCTCTCCAGCCCTCCCTTCACCTTATTTATTTTTTGAGACAGTGTCTTTCGCTGAATCCAGAGCTCACAGTTTTAAGACAACTGACTAGCCAGCAAACTCCCAGAAACTACCTATATCTACTTTCCTGATCTGGGATTACAGATTAGGCCAGGCTTAGCTTTTTACTTGTGTGCTGGGGTTACAAACTCAGGTCTTCATACTTGCACTCAGCTATCTCCCCAACTCCACCTTGAGGTTTTTCACTAGGACAAGTGGTCAATGGACCAGGAATGACCACAGCCCAAGCTGTGCAGGCCTGTGTAGAGTGCATACTTCTCAAGCTCCAGACAGGCTGATAGGGGCCTCACCAGGTTGCTCCAGGTCCCTCTCCTAAATGAATCCTGAGAGTCATAAACAAAGAGTGAACCTGGCAGAACCTCCAGGCACTGCCCTTCAGTTTACAAAGCCTTGGAGTCTCTGTTAGAGGCCTTCAGCCCAGTATCATGGTGTCTCTGTGACTCTGTACAGATGAGGAAAAAGCACAGATAGGTGACGTGACTCATCCGAGGCACACAGAAAAGGTTTGGCAAGACCCAACTTCTGGCTCCTCACCCCACATTCTTTCCATTGCCCTGCCCGGGCCGACAGCTCAGACCAACATCTGAAGCCCATTGCAAGCCTTGGTCCCAGGTCCAAGCAGGTATTTCTCCTCCTTCCAAGAAACCCAGAAGAACCCCTCAAAGGTGACCCTGAGTGAGTATACTCACAGATTTTCCACCTAGCTGGGCCCCATCAGCCCCTCCTCCCAGAGGTCTCTGCAAGTGGTCAGTGTTCATCAGGACAGCACAGCAAGGGTTAACAGCATGAACTAATATTTAGAAATAGCACGTCCCAGAGGGAGTCAGCTGTGGCCAGCTGGTCACAGCCACTGAAACCACGAGCCTTTGTGGACATGGTATGGCAGGGGAGACCCTGCTTTGAGGAACCTGAGAGGCCCTGAAAGGGTAGACCACCCCTACCCCCACCCTATGGCCCCAGTATGGCATAGGCGTGGCCCGGAGCCCACCCAGGGTTGGACAGGCAAAGCTCCCCCACAGGCCTCCCATCCACAGCCTTGCTCCCAAGGCAGCAAAGACAACTTTTCAGCTTCTGAATTGTGTAACTGTTGGGACTAACTGCTCCTGCCCACTGGAGTCTGGCTGCCTGCGCTTGCAGGAGCCCCACGGGCTCCTGGGCCAGAAGCCGGGGCAAGACCACTCCTAACAGAGGCTTAGCCTGAGGCTCTGCAGAGGAGTTCGTGATTATGAAACTATAGAGCCAAGCAACCAATGCCTAAAGCCTATGTCCCCTTGTGCAGGGTAGTCGGCATTCTGTGTCCTTCATGGCAGGAGGCCAGTTCCCTAAGGGCAGGGCCCGAGCAATTGAAGCACAGCGCTGCTCAGACACCACCCCTTTGAGGGCACAAGCACATGCCATTTACTAGCAGGCTGGCTTTGGCCACAGGCTCCGTGCAAGGGTGGAGCCAGTCGGTCAGGGTGCAAAACACCCAGGCTGAGGGCAGGGTGGGGCTGCAGCCACTGCCAGTGCTGGCATGCTTAGTCCTAGATGCACTGTGGATAAGGGGGCAGTAAAGGTGACCAGAAGGGCCTGGCCAGCCGGCAGGGTTAAACATTGGTGGGGAATAGAAATCATTAGGTGTCTGTCGTCTCATTCCCCTAGAGTTCTTGGGGAAAGGGAGACAGCATATACTATAGGCCATTGAAACTTCAGAGAATTTGTAACCCTCTGACTTACATTATAGGTGGGAGCATTCTGAGTCATCTTCTTTCCTTGACTCCCCAGGTGTCCTGTCCTGTGGAGAGGTGTCAGTCTAGGGGGTGGAAAAAACACTGAGCTAAAATCCCCCGGTCTGGTCTAGCTAGAGAGGAGAGTCTATGGAGTCTACACAGAGAGGTCAGTGCCGGGGAAGAGAGCAGTGAGGGAGGGCTTCTTGAGGTGGGCAAGAAGTGACCAGGAAGACAGGGTCAACAGGAGCTGCCTGTGAATATCTGCTTAGCCCAACTCCAGGAAAGTCATGGCAAAGGTTAGCAGGCAGAATGAAGGCAAGAGTCAACCCTGAGCATGCCAGGGAGGTTTAGGTCAGCTCTGCTCTGGACAGGCATATCCAAGAGCTGGGGTGAGGACAAAAGAGGAGCTGGCATTACCCCATCCAATGGCACTGCTCTGAGTCAATGGGAGATGATTAGTCCTTCTAAAGCCACATGGGGCCTCAATCTTCATGCCATTGCTCAGCTTCAGTCCAGGGTTCAAGTCTCACACTACCAACAGAAGCCAAGCCTGTGTGCCCAGAGCCCCATGAGCCTGTTTTCTCTTTCATCTGAGAACACACTCATTTCCAAGGGTGTCAAAATCTCAGGTGAATGATTTTTATTTTGTTTTGTTTTGTTTTGTTTTGTATTTTGAGACAGGGTTTCTTTGTGGCTTTGGAGGATGTCCTGGAACTAGCTCTTGTAGACTAGGCTGGTCTTGAACTCATAGAGATCCACCTGCCTCTGCCTCCCAAGTACTGATGATTCTTATTCGTAATCTTTCTCCCCTACCCCTACCCCAGGAACTAACTTTGCAAATGACTTTGAATTTCTGATTCTCCTGCCACTACCTTCTGAGTGTTGAGATTAAAGGCTTGTGTCGCCACGCCCAGTTTTTTTATTGAATTTATTTTGTATATGTTTATATGAATGTATGACATGTTTGCAGGTACCTACAGAGGCTAGAAGAAGGTATCAGAGCCCTTAGAACTGGACCTACAGTTAATTGTGAGCCATTCCATGTGAGCACTGGGAACCAAACTAAGGTTCTCTGCAAGAGTAGTAAGCACTCAACCAGGCAGTGGTGGCGCACACCTTTAATCCAGTACTCTGGAGGCAGAGGTAGGTGGATCTCTGTGAGTTCAAGGCCAGCCTGATCTACAGACCAGCCTGGTCTACAGAGCAAGTGTTAGGATAGGCTCTAAAGATACACAGAGAAAACCTGTCTCGAAAAACCAAAGAGAGAGAGAGAGAGAGAGAGTAGTAAGCACTCTTAATTGCTGAGCCATCTCTTATCCCCATACCCAGTTTTTATGCAGTGTTTCAGAGTAAAGCCAGGGCTTTTATATCTGGGCAGGAACTCTAACAGCTATATCCTCCTCCCCACCATCCCAATGCTATAGATTGAATACAGGGCCTTGCACGTGCTAAGCAAGTGTTCCGATGCCTAGTTATTTCCCCTGGTGAACCTCTTACAAACTGGGAACCCCCAGCAGAGGTACACAAGCTGGGTCATGAATGCATTGCTGGTTGCATTCTTCTTTAGAGCAACAAGGCAGGGGAAGGCTCTGAGCTCATCCTGTCTTAAATCTCAGCTGTGGGATGGGCAGCAGCTACTTGTCTGGAGGCTCCCCAAACAGACAAATGACTCCTGGTAGTGGTGGGCAAATAAATCTGTGGGTAGGGGCCAAGCAAAATGGAGAAGATAGGTGACATGAGACTGGTGTGAATCTCTTCTCTAGTTTCTGATTCATAAAAAAGCAAACACTTCCTCTCCCTTTCATTCTTAAAAAGAAAACCCTTTTACCCCAACATTCCCAGAAGCCTCCCTTTCCCAGTCCATATTTGGGTAGTAATTGGCCCTTAATGAGGACCAAGTGTCTTGCTGACACGGAAGAAAGAAAACAAGCCATGGACTCAATGTCTCAGTTACCTAGAGTGCCTGGATAGTTCTTATGTTAGTCAAAGTCCCTGTAGAATAACAAGTGGTGTCTTAGTCAACTTTAATGGGCACTTATTGAACACCTACTATATGCAACTAACTGCCTCTGAAAAGGAAAATTGAAGGTCACAGATGATACTCCATCCAGGGGGAAGGGTAAGTTGTATACAAACTGCACTGGAATGTATGAATGAAAAGGGAATAAAAGACAAATATTTGCTGAACACTTACTGTATGCCAGCTCCTGGGATAGGCATTTGAAACATATTAAAACGCTTAATCCTTATAAATTTAAGCTTGTAAATGAAGAGCTGAAACCCCGGAGAAGGGACTAGTTAAAGGTCATACATCAAGTAAGAGAATTGAGATCAAGAACACCATCAGACCAGTCATGGCAGGAAAACACCAAGCTTAGGCTCAATGATTTGTCTTCTCCTCATCTCCATCAACTTACTCAAGCCCTTTAATATCTCTCAGCCTCAGATTCTCCATCCAAATGGGGCTCGGTTCTGTTGAAAGTTATGAAATATACTGGTGATATGGCTGTTGCTCGGGGGCAAGGATTGGGAAGAGGGTACAGAGTGGAATGTGAGTTGCAGATCCCATTAGATTAGATTAGATCCCATTAGATTAGCTGCATATCCCATTAGAGGGATATGTGTGGGAGATGAGAGGTACAGGGGTACTCCATCCACTGGAGAAACCCAGGCCAGTTCCCATTGCAGCTAGAGCTGGCTGAACACAGGCACTGGGAAAGGCCAAGGTAACTCTGCTTTTTCCAGCTCCTGGTTGGGACTAGGCAGCCTTTTGCCTGGGAAGGAGCCAGGAAGAGAAGGCCCCAGCCTGAAGCTGTTAGGTAGGAGCTAAATCCAGGGCCAGATTTCCAGGAGGCAGTGGGGCAAGGGAGAACACCAAGATTCTTAGGTCGGGAAGCCTGGGTTCCTTGCAGGAAATGGCCAGGCACCTGCCTTTGACCCTGGACTCTGAGCTGAGCTCCTCCTACACAAAATGAGGGGAAGGGTGCTCAGCCCCTGCCTTGAGGATTGTTTTGAAGCATGTTATCACAGGACTGAGCTTCACTGTGAGGTCGAGACCTCTAGTTTTTACAGGCAGAGAAAGTTCAGTCTGTGAAACTCAGAGCCCTGTCTAACGGTCTGCTCCAGTGGAATCCTCAGAGACCTGCGACCATGGGGGACACCTAAACCCCCACTATCCCCACAAGGCCAGAAGAAAGCTGGCAGTTCACACTTCCTTTCTCTTTCTCAAGGGATTCTGCACTGCGGTGTTCTGAGGAACTAAAGTCTCAGAGACTTTGTCCCAAATCCTTAGAATGGTGCATGGGTCTCACTTAGCAGTAAAGATCCTTCAACCCTGACCGGGAGCAGGAGCCCAGAACGGCCCCTTTAAGAAGGTTGGGGGTGGGAGCAGACAGAGGGAGCCCCCGCCCGAAATCCAAGCGCGGGTCGGCGCCTGCCCCGCCCCCCGGAGTTAAGTACCGGACAGCCCTTGCGTCCTCCTAGCCGGTGCAGGAGCCCTGCTCCCTCGACTTAGGACTTGAGACTGCTGCTGTCCAGACTCAGCACGTTCTGTTCCCTCGCCTTACAAGTCCAGACGCCCAGCCGGCCGCGATGCTTCTCGGCCCGGGACACACGCTGTCAGCTCCAGCCCTGGCCCTGGCTGTTACCTTGACCCTGTTGGTTAGATCTGCATCTCCTGGTGAGTGAGGGGCTGAGACCCTGACCCAGCCTAGGCGATCTATGTGGGGGCTGCACTCACAAGCCAGGATCAAGAGCCCAAGGGCCTGTACTTCTTCCCCAAGTTGAGGGTCTGAGAGGAAAGCTCTGGTATCTGTTTATGGGAACTCCGGCGATCCCAGATTGTCTGGCTTTCTTGACCCCAGTCAGACCCCCCAGAAAGGGGCCCCTGGAGTCAGATTGCCAAGGGCGTGGCTCTGCCCACCCAGATTGTCCGGGTTACTCAGGTCACCTCAGAGCTATCCAGTCTCTTTCAGACAGGTTTGGGGTGACCATAGCGGTTACTTAAAGTACACCCAGTGGCAGTAGTAAGTGGGCATCCTGGCCACAGATACCCTGAGCCAGAAATGGGGAGTTCTGTGAGGTGGGAAGCGGAGAGGAGGCACAATGCCCCACCCTGTGCACCCAGCACACCTCTGCCATGGCCTCCTCTAACTGCCTTCTGGCCTCTGTACCCTCTCACAGCTCTGCAACCCTCTTTT